AATGTTGACATTCTCCAGGTCCAACAGGTTTAGCTTACAGGTGGAGCTAACAGGTTTAGCTAACAGGTGGAGCTAACAGGTTTAGCTAACAGGTGGAGGTCTGAAGCCTCATTTGGAGGCTCTGCTTGGGACTGAATGGTGAAAACTTCAACGTAACAAACCTGATTAACATGGAGTGTGCTGCTTTGGCAGTGGAAAATCTGTGAATCTGAATCAACAGTATTATGATTCTTGTGTGAAGCATGAGATCATGAAAAAGGTTCTGAAGCCGGTTAGGTTCTCTGGATTTGGGGTTACAGTGAAGTTATTGACTTGTTTCTTTGTCTCTCTTGACTCCTAGTGAAGATCTGTGTACTTACTGTTCTGTAACCAAGTACATGATCAAACTCTGTGAATGAATGAAACCCTCCCTATAAACTGTAAGCTGACTTCGGCTCCAGGCTGTTTCTGCTGATGATCAGTGAGCTGAGACTTCCAATAAATACTGATTGGAATATTTTCTCTCTGGGTCTTTGGGCTTGAAATAGTTTTCCTTCACTCTGTAAAAAGAAAATGTCCACAACAGTTTAAAGCTGCAGCTCTGGTTTCACACACACACACGCACACACACACACAGTCTCACACTGAGCAGCTGACAGCAGTAGAAGGAGGCCAGCAGGTGTATTTATAGCAGAGCTTCTCTGGTTCTGTCCCAGTCCTCCGCTGCAGCTCCACCATGCCCGGCACCCAGACCCGGAGCCGGCCCAGGGACCGGAATAATGTCCTGAACCGGCCCGAGTTCATGTCCCTGAACCAGCCGGTCCGCAGAGAAACCTCTGCCGGGGAGGGGCGGGCCGGAGCAGCGAGGAGAACCGCCACGAGACGCCCAAGTCAGCAGGACGACGCCATGGCGAGGTAAGAGGCTCCGCCCACCGCTGTTAGGAGGTAAGAGGCTCCGCCCACCGCTGTTAGGAGGTAAGAGGCTCCGCCCACCGCTGTGAGGAGGTAAGAGCTAGAAGAAGCCAGGACCCCTGCCCCCTCTGACCGCCACCAGCAGGTGGAGCAGGGATTGGGGGTAAACCCCGTCCACTCTTGCTCAATGTTCTGGTTCTGGTGTCAGAGGTTCTTTAGAGTCACCGTCATGGAGATGTAGGAACGTTGTTACCATGACGATGTGACAAAGTTCTCATCAACAGTCCTTTACATCTGTCCCTCTGTGTCCCCAGGGGGTCCAGGGACTCCTCTGAAGGAGCCACATCAGGAGACGCGGTTCCGAAAGACGGGTCCCGCTGGCCTGAGCAGGACTGCATGCAGCTGAACCCATCCTTCCGCGGCATCGCCATCAACTCGCTGCTCGCCATTGACATCAGCCTGTCCAGGCGTCTGGGCGTGTGCGTTGGGGCCCGTGGCCCCGGGGCCCCACTGCGCCCCATGGTGGCCCTGCTGGCCTTCTCTGGACATGCACTGCCCTGGCTCTGCGGGACGCTGCTCTGCCTGTGGCGCAGCAACTCGCTGGCGGGACAGGAAGTCCTGGTCAACCTGTTGCTGGGTGAGCCTGATGACCTTTGACCCATCTGTCTCTGCTGACCTTTGACCTGTCTGTCTCTGCTGACCTTTGAACCCCCCCAGCCCTGCTCTTGGACCTGATGACCATCGCGGGCGTGCAGAAGCTGGTGCAGCGCCGGGGGCCGTGGGACGCCCCCCCAGGGTTCCTGGACCACGTCGCCCTGGATGTGTACTCGTTCCCCGCCGCCCACGCCAGCCGGGCCGTCATGGTGTCCCGCTTCCTGCTGAACCACCTGGTGCTGGCGGTGAGTGGCCGCCGCTAGTCACCGCCCGCGTCTCAGCGGAGCTGACCCCATGCTGACCTTTGCCCCCTAGGTGCCCCTCCGGATCCTGCTGTATCTGTGGGCCTTCCTGGTGGGCGTGTCCCGGGTCCTGCTGGGGAAGCATCACCTGTCGAATGTCGGCTGCGGCTTCGCGCTCGGATTCTTGCACTTCAGCCTGGTGGAGTCCGTCTGGCTCGACTCGGCCGCCTGCCAGGCGCTGCTGGCCATCGGCTCTCTGCACTGGGCGCCACTGGTGTAGAGGGCGCTACACAGAGCTGGACTAGAACCGGACAGGAACCGGCGTGGAGCCGGACCGGAGAACGACTGGTACCAGAACCCGATTGGAACCGGACCGGAAACCGACCGGAGTCGGACCAGAGCCGGACCAGAACCGGACCGGAGCCAGACCAGAGCCAAACTGGTACTGGAAACCGACTGGAACTGGACCACAGGCGGACTGGAGCCGGACTGGTACCGGAACACGACCGGAACTGGATCACAGTTGGACTGGAACAGGACTGGTTCCAGTCTGGTTTTCTTGCTGCTTCGTGCCTCTGACTGTTCTCTGCGTTGGAAAGGGTCTGGTCGGGATCGGCTGGCTGAACTGGTGTAACTGGTAAAAACTGCTTACAATCTGGTTCAGACTGGTTCAAACCCAGTTTGAACTGGTTCGTGTAGATAAAACAGGAAGCAGAACTTTGGGAGGGGCGGGGACTAAATCTGCTCCGAACCAGTTTGAACTAGTTCAGTCCAGTTCCAGTAGGGTCAACCTTTTTCAACTGGTTTGGTACTGGTTAAACTGGGTTGGATGAGCAAATGTCACTAACAGGAAGTGACTCTGGTTGGGTAGAGTTATTTAATAAAAAAATAAAATGTTCTCCAGATCTGCAGCTGATGACTTTTATTTTTACTATTTGATGAAATTAAGAGAAGCTGAAGAGGGAGTCGGACCAGAACCGGATCAGAACCAGCCCGGGTGTTCCTGGGCCTTCATTGATGTCTGTCAGAGGTTATGATGGTGGTTAAAATAAAAAGTCAGATTTAATGAGATTTCCATGATGACAGCAGCGTCCAACAGGGGGCACTCTGCCGCCCTTAAAGTCAGTCCACCTTAACATCAGTCCACCTTAACGTAGACTGACATTAAGGTCAGTCCACCTTAAAGTCAGTCCACCTTAACATCAGTCCACCTTAACGTAGACTGACATTAAGGTCAGTCCACCTTAAAGTCAGTCCACCTTAAAGTCAGTCCACCTTAACGTCAGTCCACCTTAACGTCAGTCCACCTTAACGTCAGTCCACCTTAACATCAGTCCACCTTAACATCAGTCCACCTTAACGTCAGTCCACCTTAACGTCAGTCCACCTTAA